CCCCCCCAGTTTTCGGCCCACAGTCCCTTTCCCTAATAGCTGCATGAGATTTAAAAGTACAGTTGTGCCTGTGTTTATTTAATCATTCCTCTGTTGAAGGACATTTAGGTTGTTTCCAGTGTTTTGTTTTGTTTTTTTTCAATTACAAACAATGCTTTGATAAACACCCTGTGTGTTTCTCTTTATGAACGCAGACGACTGTTTTTTTCTAGGGTGTATAATGAGTTGCAGAATTGCTGGGTTGAAGGGCATTTGCACTTTTAATTCTAACATATAATGCTGAATTGTGTTTATAACCAAGAAAGGGCACTCACAATAAAGAACCAGAAAGAAAAAGAAAATGGTCTGGATCCCCTCCCCAGCAGAACAATGAGGAAATTAATGTTTAGCACACAAATGTTTGCAAATTTTCCGTGCCCTGTAGCGTGGACACCCCTTCCCTCCTGTCTCCCCACAGTTCAGCCTGTTTGTTCCCCTTTTCCTGATGCAGGTTCAGCCCTTACGAGTGGTATGATGCTCACCCCTGCAACCCCGGCTCTGAGGTGGTCGAAAATAACTTCACTCTGCTCAACAGCTTCTGGTTCGGGATGGGGTCCCTCATGCAGCAAGGTATGCACCCTCTCCCTGGGTCTCCTCTCTCCAGGGAACCCATCATCATCTATGGAGTCAGCAGAACCAGCCCACACTCAGGGCAGCCTGCTGGGCCACCAGAAAAGGTCGACGGCTAGAATATGCAGAATGGCCTGGCTAAGTCCTGGTCCCAAGTCCCTACTCACCATCACTGCCTGGTTGGGCCTGGCTTGGAGCTGAAGCCTTAAACAGATAAACTGCTCCTCACTCATGGCATGCTGGATTCCTGTCCAGCACCTGCTGCTCCATCAGTGGTGGCCATAGAGCATCCTGCTTGCTGGGGCTGACCTTCCAGTGGCCTTACCACCATAGACTCTAGCTGAACAATTATGGACTGTGAGGGAGAGCGGTTGATAGAGAGACCATTGCAGGAATGAGATGGTAAGGCCCTCAGTCAATTCAGAAGTCGATCAAACATCTAATCAAGACGCACTGATAATTACTGGTGATTGGAATGCAAAAGTTGGAAATAAAGAGGGAGGATCGTAGTTGGAAAATATGGCCTTGATGATATAAATGATGCTGGAGAGCAGAGCACATGATAGAATCTTCATTTTTTTCAACAACATAAAAGGTGACTAAACACCTGGACCTTACCAGATGGAATACTGAAGGCTGTAATATGGATTGCACCTCAATTGGGCAAAAAAGAACATCCAATGGAACCCCAGGGAGGAAGTAGAAAGAGTGCTATTACATTGAGGGACTTACAATCAATGTCACAAAGCAAAATGATCCACACTGTCAAATGGAAACTAATTTGTTCCATTAATTTCACCCAAATTACAATAAAAACTTACCAAAAAAAGAAGTGATTCTCCCTTTAGGAGTTGTAGCTTGGGGTGACCAGGTAGATAGGTAGATGAGGCAGGGGTGGCTGGCTGGGGAGGGGAAGCTGAGGTACCTGGGTGGCTAGCTGGAGAGGGGAAGCTGAGGCACCTGGGTGGCTGACTGGGGAGGGGAAGCTGGGGCACCTGGGTGGTCTCTAGCAGCTAGAAAGTGACAGGCAGCTTTCAAGTGAAGGGCCTCATTCTGCGCCACTCTTAATGAGTGTCCTGAATCCTCACTTTGCGTCTTTGTCCATCACAACTGTGTTCGGTGACAGGAGAGACCTGGAAGCTCCTCCATGGAGTAATAGCTTCTCCTTTTCCACCTCCTGCCGCTATTCAAAGCGCAAGCCCCTGATGTATTCCCCGTGTGGTTTTGATTAGGAGGAGAAAAATAGTTATGTATTTGAAAAACTCTCCCTTGAGTGATTTCTTTGAGGGAAAAAAAAAATCATCCATATCAAAGCAGACACTTTTCAGATTGCAGGTCTAAATATTCTGGGAAGTTCAGGGGTCACTTGCTATTTAAATCTCTTGAAAGCCGCCTAGTTAATTACTTCAGTTAGAAGGTTTCATCTATATTGTGCTCCACATCCAAGGTCGGGGAAGAAAAGTGATATATTTTGGTGAAGAGCTTCATAAAATGTTGACTTTTCTCCTCCCACAAAGCACCACATAGCAATCTCGTATTTGTATACCGCTTATATTACTGACGCAGTTTCTCCTCCAATGGTATCATTGTGGCTTCTCAGTATTTGTACGAGGCTGGCACAAAGGAAGGACGATTCTCCTTCTCTACAGAGGCCAAGAGAGGGAAAGCGTCTGGTACAATATCACACAGAGGAGCAAAAGTCCCTCAAGAACCTAGAGTTTCTGACTTCCTGGGTTCTTTAAACTGGGACTGCGCAGGTGGTCTGTAGATGGAACTCAGAGAGACTGACAAGCCTGTGGAATGTTGTGCATGTCTTGTTCTAAGACAGTCATTCTTAACTTTTAGCCTGTGTTTGAATTACCTGCAGGGCTTATGAAAATAGATCGCAAGGCTTCTCCCCTAAAGTTACTGATCTAGTGGGTCCAGAATGAGGTCCTAGAATTTGCATTTCTAACAAGTTCTCAAGTGATGCTGATGTTACTGATATTACTGGCCCAGTGAGCACACTTTTGAGAATCACTTTTGAAGGAGTCCTGATGTGGCACTCTGGGTTAATGTGCTAGACAGCAAGGTCAGTTTGAACCCCAAGGTCAGCAGCCTAAGCTCACCAGCCGCTTCTTGGAAACCCTATACAGGGTCGCTGTGTGTCAGAACCAATGCATTGGTAATTAACAATAACAACAACTTGTAGAGGAAGAGTCTCAGCTCTTACCAGAGTCAACACAGTCTGTGACCCGGAAAGCTTCAGATAGCCTTAGTGGGAACCTTGTAAGGATTGCCTTTCTCTTCTCTCCCCACAGGCTCTGAACTGATGCCCAAAGCTCTGTCCACGCGCATTATTGGTGGCATCTGGTGGTTCTTCACACTCATCATCATCTCCTCCTACACTGCCAACCTGGCTGCTTTTCTGACCGTAGAACGGATGGAATCCCCCATCGACTCTGCTGACGACCTGGCCAAGCAAACCAAAATCGAGTATGGGGCTGTCAAGGATGGGGCCACAATGACCTTCTTCAAGGTGAGACCCTTTCCTTCCCATTGTAGCACCATGAGTTGGCCGAAGAAGAAAGGACACTTCTATCCTTCCTCCACCACAGAGTCAGTGAGTCCTCAGGACTCAGCCTCTCCCTCTTTGGGACCAGTTGACCTTGGGGAGCTGTAATGATGTGTACTAGTCCCAGCATAGATTCTAGAAGCTTCCACACTTGGGTCAAGCAGTGTGAATGTCCTGTGTTTCCTAAATCCTCAGCAGAGTACGGATGGGTGGAGAGAGAGGGAGCCCATAACCAGGCTTAGGGAACACTGGGCTTCCTGCCTTGGGCTTTGGGTCTCATCACCATCCACCTCCACGGGGATTGGTGAGCACCTCATCACAACGGAGGGCAGAGGAACCATATCCTCTAACCAAGAGAGGAAGCATAAACTTGAACACACGTTTAGGAACATGACTTCGCATGTCACATTCTAGAAATGCTGGTGTCTCAGATAAAGCCTCCGATCATTTGTCATGACTTTGTTGCTCCTTTCAGCTTTACAAGGTGTTGACTTAGTTCCCCAACATTTTTCACCTTCTAGACCAGGGTTTAGGAGACTCTTGATGGCTCTAAGAACAGTAGTTAGGAAGGTCCCTCCAGACATTGCTATAATATACCAAGAGCCATCCTCCCTGAGAGCTGACAGTGGGGTGCTAAACGCTGGGCTGTGTTTAGCCTTCATGACACATCCTCTAAGGGAGGTGCTCTAATTATTTCCATTTTATACATATGGAAGCAGAGACTCGGGGGTGGGAGGAGGAAGGGCTAAGCTCTTGTTCAAGGACTTGCAACTGATGGAGCCCGATACTGACGCACATCTGCCTCCCTCCAAAGCCCATGTTCTAGACCCATGGTCTCAGACCTGACCCTGCATCCAAATCACCGGGAGGACTTGCTAAAGCACAGATGTCTGGGCCCCACCTGCAGAGTTTGGGGTTCAATAGATCTCAGGGATGAAGCCTGAGAATGTTCATCTCTATCAAGATCCCAGGTGATGCTGGTGCTGCTGATGGTCCTGGAACCACAGAAGGAGAACCATGGCTTGAGTTATTTCTCAGAAACAGTCACGATTTGGGAACTCTATGGCTGCAGGTCCTATCCAGCCCTTTATTTGTTTAGTTATCAATCCATTGCTCAATGAGTCTGGGAAACTTGGTGGTTTCCCTTCTCTCTGGACCCTGGCATCTTTGCAGACTAAGCCTCTGAGTGACGGACGGAGCCTCCAATGGGAGCCTGAGCAAGGAGAAGCAGGAGGGACTGGCTAGGGAGCCTTCAGCTCCTGGCACTAGAGCCCTGACAGCAATCTTCCCCAGCCCAGTCTCCCCTCACCCCGCCCTGAGGTCAGAAGCAGCTGCTTAGTGAAGAGAAGAGAGAGAGGAAAGGGCTCCCTTTGGATGTTGCTGCTACCACTGGGAAGCTGCAAACAAGCTTCCTTAGGGGTCCCCACCCTGAGTATGCAGGCATTAAAAGCATGGGCTGGGTCCGATGCTGCCTGGGACTCTGTGTAAGTGAACATGATTGTGAGCAAGTGCGTGGTTCCGTGTGTGCAGGTAGCAGTGTGTAATACATGCATTGTGCCTTTGTGTACAAAGGCATGCACATATGTGCCCACGCCAAAGAGGTGCATGTGTATACTTGTGCTTGGCCATGAATGTCTGTCTCCTCATATGCACATATGTGCATATGTGTGCATACATCTCTGAGACTTGGGCATGTGCCTATGTCTGTGCATGTATGCAGGTATTGCTGGAGTGTTTACACGTATATGTGTATATGTGCAGTGTGCATGTGTGTCTCTGCTTGAATGTTCACATGGTGTGCCAGGAAAATGTGAGTGGAGAGGGGGGCTGGGCCTGTGTCTGTGTAATGAGCCATGTATGTGTGAGTGACACACACATATGGGTATAGTTGCCCGTGCATGCACATGTGCGTGTCATGCTCCGTGCACGTATATGTGTGAGCAAGCTTACTTGTGCCTACCCCCAGGCTGCAGCCCAGCCCTTGGACTGTGCCAGAGCATCTCTCATGCATTATGCATGAGCCCATCTCTAAACAGAGCTCCCGATCAAAGGGAAGCAGCATAAATAAGCCTGGTGCAGGCTCATTGCCGCTGATTGGCTGCCCTTGCTCCACTCCCTGTTAAAATGCTCAGATTGGCTTCCAAGAGCCCAGTCCCAGCTCCCCACTGAGCCGCTGTCCTCAGCATCAAACAGCACCTTTAGCAGTCTGCTCCGCCCTCACCCACCTTCCCTGCAAACAGTGCAGTGAGGAAGGCAGAGAAGGGACACAAATGCCACCTCCCAGCTGGGATGTTGGTGCCCAAAGCCGAGGCTCACAAGGTCCTGTCAGCCAGAAGCAGCAACTGCACATTCTTTTGCAGAACTAGCTCCACTCTCTTGCCCTCCTGATGGTCAATATGTCTGACTATGTTGTCCCTGCTTTCATTCAACTGGAGCTCTTCTTGCTTTCTCTTGGGCAGCGGCAGGGTTATGTAGGCAGAGAGGAGTCTGAACACGGACACTCTGACCCATCTCAGATAATGAGCTAGGAGTACAACACCCACCCAGCAGGTTGCTGGACCGTCTTCCTTCCTTTCCTGCCTCTGCCACCCTCTGTCCTCCCCAACTGAGTTCCTAGACTGATCATACCTCCTGCCCTGGGTCATGTGACAGCCTCCTTATTATCACAGAACATTTAAAAGTTACAATTGGAAGGAGATTTGAGTTCAATCTACAGAAACAGTAGCCCAGAGGGACTGGGTGATTTGCTCAAGATCACACAGCAGATTTGGTGGAGCCAAGACGCTAGGTCAGATATCCTGTCTCTGCATTCACAGATTTCCCACACCCAGGCCAGGATCCTCTCACGGCCATTAGAGCTTCACAGAGGTCAGCTCCAGAGAAGTACCCATGAGATATTTAGGAGATAGTGGTGCTGGTAGTGGTGTGCTGTGGAGTCGGTTCCAACTCATACCGACCCTGTATAGGGTTTCCGAGACTGTAAATCTTTATGGGAGCAGAAAGCTCTCCCAAGGAGCTACTGGTGGATTTGAACTGCTGACCTTGAAGTTAGCAGCCCAACTCGTAATCCACCAAGCTACCAGGGCACCTTTAGAAGATAATAGCATTTGTTAGACATTTACTATGTACTGGAGGAGTCTTGGTGTGGTACTGTACAATAACTGCAAAGTCAGCTGTTCAAACCCACCAACTGCACCTTGGAAACCCTATACAAGGTCATTATGAATTGGAACCAGCATAGTGGTTACGAATCGGGCTGCTAATCTCACGGTTAGCAGTTCAAAACTACCAGCAGTTCCGCAGGAGAAAGATAAGGCTTTCTGCTCCCGTAAAGATTTACAGCCTCAGAAACCCTGTACAGGGTCGCTATGAGTTGGAACCAACTCCACGGCACATAACAACAACAACAATGACTGTACTGGGAGTCTTGGTGTGGCGCTGCAGGATGATACTTTGGACCACAAGGTCGATTTGAACTCAAGGTGGCAGTTCAAACCCACCAGCTGCTCCTTGGAAACCTTACACAGGGTCACTACGAGTCAGAACCAATTTGAAGGCTTTTAACAACAACATCAACAACATGTGCTAGGCAGAGTCCCTGGGTAACACAAACAGTCAAGCATTCAGCGACTAACCAAAAGTTGGTGTGAATCTACCCAGAGGCAGGCACCTTGGAAGAAAGGCCTGGTGATCTGTTTCTGAAAGGTCACCATTGAAAATCCTATACATAGTTCTACTCTGACATGGGGTTACCATGGGTAGGAATTGATTCCGTAGCAGCTGACTATTCTCCATACCTTCTTTGTGTGCACTCTTATCATCCTCCTAACAAAAGTTGAAAGGAGGGATAATTACTGTTATCTTCTTTTTGCATATGATGAAAGTGAGGTTACTGATTTGTCACACAGCTGGTGGGAGTCCTGGTGTGGTGTTGTGGGCTAATGCATCAAACTGCAAAGTCATTTAAACTGCAAGGTCGGTGGTTCAAGCTCACCAGATGCTCCTTAGAAACCCTATACAGGGTCACTATGGGTCGGAATAGATTCGACAGCACTTAACAACCCAGCTAGTGAAACACAGAGCTGGGATTTGTACCCAAGTCATCTGGTTCTGGTGCCCAGGCGCTTTGTCTCAATGCCTGTATTGTCTTTCTAAGGACCCAGCCTCAGTCCTCAGGCGTCTAGGAAGAGGGAAGCCACAGTACGTTGAACCACGTCCCCAGCCTATACACAGTACCGGCACAAATAATGCATGTGCAGTGGGTGCCATTGTTGAGTTAATGGATGGATATGTGAAAAATGGCAGGAGTCAAGTGGAGCACATGTCAGAGATGGTGTTGAGGACAGAATGCCAGCAAATAGCACCTCTTAAGACAAGCTTCATTTCTGTGGTTAGCATGTGCTCTTGGTTCAGTCCCCTGACTGAGAATAGAACAGCAGGAAGGAAATCCATTCTTGTCCAAGGACACAACAGCAGGAAGTGGGATGTCAGGCACTGGGAGCTCTGGATGGCTCAGTCCCACCCATGCAGCCTGGAAAGTGGGTGGTCCCATCATTCCAAAAGAAATTGCATCGGAAGAATTGTCAGGGAGTGGCAGACATCACAAACAGCGTCTCCAATGTTGTCCTCCCTCCGTCTTGGAAGATAAAAATTAATTAGAAGATGAAAAAGGAGGCCTTTGAAAGCTCTGCTTGGCTGTAAAAATCTGTAGGCAAAATGTAAAGGAGAACATTGGGAAAGGGAGTTTGTTGGTGGGGAGGGCCAGGCAGCTTTGAAGGGAGAGGATGTCAGAAGACAGCTGCTACTCCAAGGATTTAGCCCTCTTCCAGCTCTAGGGATGCAGAGAGGAAATCACAGGTGGGAGACACTGGAGGAGTAATGGCTCAGGAAAGGGTTGGGAGCTAGGGGCCGAGAATTGTCAAGCCCCCTTCATCCCATTTCCTTTACCTGGCTCTAGCATCCAG